GTGAAGTGGGGCCACTGGCCTTTCCAGTGCGGTGCATCTGAGGAATGTCCCACACAACACACACACCCATACTCACACACTCTCTCACACACATATTCACAAAGGGAAACATGTCATCAAAGGCAGGATCATAGGACCAGTGTATGGACGGGCATTTTTGAAGGCCTCACACTTGACAGTGAACACGTAAACAGTGGCCGTCTGCTTGGTGAAGTGTGAAGAGAAGATGAAGTGTGAACTGTGGAGCTGATACAGTATTTAGTGAATATTTGTTTCACTTTATTCTATCCGTTCAGTACTACATGGATTTGGCGAATGAACAGTTTGAAAAGACACTGTTGAAAACGTCGCCCTCTGTGGTGTTTCAGGACATCACGTTCACAGGGTAAATGTTTTAATTACCTGTATGTTTGAAAAAAGATCGAAACCTGTCAGTTAACATTGGAAAAATAGAGTAAAATATATGTAATTAAATATGACGTTCAATGACAAAAGAAAAAATAGTATTAAAAGAAAATAATGTTTTGCTTAAAATTACATTTAAATTTAATTTAAAGTGGTTATGTCATTGTAATAAGATAAAACCTAATAATTAAAGCAGAGCTTCTCAACTACAGGGTGGCGGGCTGTTACCAGGCCGGGGGTCATTTGTTATAGGGCCACAGAGAAACTTCTTTTTTAAGTTAATTTATTTTTAATTATTTATTGAACATTAATGCAATAATTCTTTATTATTATTATATTTACCATTGTCAGATAACTCTTTGTTAGCATTCACCTTGTAATAGAAGTGCGGTGAAGGAAAACAGTGACCAAAGGCAGTTATATATGCAAAATTGCCTGTGGGTTCAGTTACTGAAGGACACCAACATCTCATCAAACTTTTGTTTCCTCCGAAACTCCGTCAGTGTCAATCAGAAGACGTCGTCCACACGGCAAGTCTTCATTTCTTTGTCCCAGCAGGTATCGGCCTGTCAGCTCAGTCACCTCTAATGATCACTGACCTCTGTGACCTGTAACCTTCAGAGCCCCCTCACAGTTGGGATGTTATTCTAGAGTGGGTTTCTTCTACTCCATTGTTGTCGAACTCTTTCAAGCAAAAGAAATGTGAAATTCCCGGAAAGAATAAAAAAGGTTTGATCCTCCAGGATGTTCTGCAACAGTGTGGCCCTCTGAACTGAGCACAGACTCAGTGGACTGTTTTACTGTCTAATGTACATCTGCTGGCTAACTGGAAACTTGAAACATGCAGATCAGGGCTGCAATATTATTATTATTATTATTGTTGTTGTTGTTGTTAACATTATTATTATTGTTGTTGTTGTTAACATTATTATTATTGTTGTTGTTTTTGTTATTATTATTATTATTATTATTATTATTATTATTATTATTATTATTATTATTATTATTATAACAATTATTATTGTTGTTATTATTATTACTATTATTGTTTTTATTATTATACATCATCATCATTGTTACTCCCATCATGTTTCTTAGGAGTTTACCAATAATGTTTATTAACTTGGGTCGTGAAGGTTTGTGACTCCTCCTCCTTGAATCGCAACCTTAACGTGGTGGATGGGTTTGAGTATCCGAATGAACCTAGGAGCTATGTTGTCGGGGGCTTAACGCCCCTGGTAGGGTCTCCCAAGGCAAACAGGTCCTAGGCGACGGTGCACTAAATCTAGCATATTTTTGCTTGTTAAACACGTTTTCACAGTCCA